ATATATATATAAAATTATCACAACTATATATTTAATATTACTCCCACTAGTGTAGTATACTACTCCCTTACAAGTCCTAAGTGTGTGACCCTTTAGGTATCCATAACACTGGCAATGATATTAATATAAATTAATACCATAGATAATAAGCGGTATCTAGCAACACATTATTATCCCCAGATTATGAAAAAGACGTTCATCTCATCAATACCTTCTACGACACAAGACGTTCTATAACTATTATCCTTCTGTCCTAAATGTCATGATTTAACACAAGACATGGGATGTGTATCCTTGTATAGTTAAATCAGCTGTTACTGAATCTCAAGTAGACTGGCATGGATCAGATATTTATCAGTCTCTAGATAGCGACATATCTGGCATGGCCATGCACTTTCCCAAGTCCTACTATTCAGTGGGCCCATTGACATTATACTTCTATACAGTAGAAGGGACAGATCCTGTATCTGTTATTCACATCTCTAAATATGCTTAGCAGCATACCCAACGCATAACTGTATGTCTACCAGTATTTCAGATAGCATTAGTTATGAATCAAAGCATACGGCCCCACATATCAGAGAATGTAATAACTTCAAGTCTGAGGATAGTTATAACAAGGTCGATTTGAGAATACTGATAAACACATTACTGTAGATCCATGCAGTATTTTCAAGATGGGTCAATCCAGTCACATATTATCAATATAATATGCACCTACGTACAGATTAAGATATCACAATACCTATAGTCTATGAGACGCAACTATCTCATCTCGTACGTACTAGTGTTGATACGTTATGACGTCCGTATTATCATAAAGTGCGACTAGGGATATTCTAGACACAGCCTTCGTCAAGAAGTAATAGTCTCATAATCAGAACATCGTAGTCCTCATCTATGTTACTGAAGCGCTATCATCTATGGACTGAAGCTATGTTATGTTACACGAGATATAAAACATACTTCAAGGCCTTTCATTCATGATAAAGTGTACAGTTACATAGGTATTTGATTGCCGCTAGGGCACCTAAATACAACAGTTGGCACTATGGAAGGTTTGTTCACTTTGATCTTGTGGGCTTCTGAAGGGTTACACAATAGTCCCATTGGTATCTTGAACATTGCCGGTTATTTCAATAACCTAATCAAATTTCTAGACGATGCGATGAGGTAGAACTTCATGTCTTTAAGTCAGAGGAAGCATTTCATTTCTTTCTTTGTTGATGAGCTTTTAGACAAACTAGATTTTGCTAAAGCTTCCCCGGGTCCAGGGGTTAGTTACGATGAGTTTGTGAATCCTGAAAGACTAGACTTAGAATTGCATCTGTAACTTTCCTCTTGTAATCCATGTTGTATCTTGTGTTGCAATGATATTATCCATAAATATTCTCCTAGGCTGTATGGCTAGTGCGAGCTACATTTTTTTTCATTCTTTAGTCTTTCTGTAACGCCCCGAAACATACCCTAGAGTTATTATTAAATAATTATTCGATTAAACAAATTTGTTTTGATTATTATTGTGCTTTGGGCCGATATGAAATATTTTTTAATATCCAATATCAAAATCTGGATAAGTCTAATCGAGATAAATCCAATATGTGGACTATTTGTGTGGTCTTGATTGGGAACCTGAGTGCAGACCCAAATCAAGAATAAATTAATTAATTAATTATGATGTGAACTTTGTAATGATTTATTGAAATAAATCATGAGAATAATTGATATGAATTAAATGAGAGAACCTTTTATGAGAAAGGTCAATTAACCCAATTTTGACTCTGTTAAAGTCAAACACCCAAAAATATGATGTCGGAAAAAGTATTACAAATAATTATGAAAAGTATATCGTTGGATAGAGCTCGACTGTCTGATCGCAACGGTGCAAACGGATTTCAATTTGGAGAAAGTTGAACCAAAAAGTGTACCCCGACTGGAACCAAAATTGGTCCCAATCAGGGAACTGTTTAGACGGCGCCTCCTTCCCCACTACGCCGATCGCAGAGTCACATTCTTCTTCTCTCCTTCTCATTATATAAGGAAACCCAACCTTCTCATTTCTTCACCATTCTTCTTCATTCTTCTTCCCAAATGTTCATGAAAGTGTGAGGAGTGTTGTGGTGCTGTCAATTTGGTGTGAAGTCGCTGGAGTTGGGAGAAATACTCGCCGGAAGTTTCGCCAGAAAATTC